TGGGAGTGAGTTGGCGTCATATAAACAAGCTAATAAGTCAATATGAGGAATACTGATTCTAACGAAGGAAACGAACTGCTCATCTACCTACATTGATTCAGATGCGTAAGTGTGGATTATAATCACAAAAATGCTAGTGAGCCGGAATGCATTCCAGAATGTCTGCTAATATAACAAACTGTGGGTAGGTTAGTGCGACGTTCAAGCGGTGTTGGAAAATGGATAAGGTGGTAGCCAATCATTATTCATCATTCTACAAAATAGTTAGCGGTTGAACTATACGCTGAACTTGCCAATCTTGTTGCGAACGTTTCGTCACCAATCGGGGTGACATCATCAGTGTTGTTGAGTGGCGTGCAGTAGCGTAGAGGAGCCTCGGTGAGAGTGCGCTGAGTGTGGTGTGCGTGCGTTTTTTCCATCGCCGTGCTTGCCTGTAGAAACGAGCAATCCTTTTGTTCGGGACTTCGATCCGCGTTCAGCTTGGTTGATGGGCAGATGACCTTTGACTTTGTGTTCTATGGCCTTTGTCTGCATGTTTTGCGAGCGAGTCTGCCGCCCGTTCTGATTGTCTAGTCACACATCCCACCAGATTCAATCGATCGAGTTGGCGGTCCTTTGCATGCATATAACTCTGACCTCAACGGAACTAAAAGCTTTACGGTGTATATGCTCGTACAATCTATCGGACATTCGTGATTTTGCAACAGTGGCGGATCCGTTAAGAAAACTTGGAAATAATGGGTCATCGTTTGTTTGGAGAAGTGAACAACAAATTGCATTCGAGGAATTGAAAGGACGGATTTTTCTGACCCATTGGTTTCAATCGTTGATGAATCACGACGCACTTTTGTGTTAGGTGATGCTCTGGTTTTGGCTTCGGTGATGTTCTTTCACAACTACAAAGCGGTGAAGTGGAAGGTGCAACGTGACAGCCGTCAGAGCGGAATACATGCTGTTCTCATGCAATATAGTAAACCCTTGGATTTCTGCAGTCGGGATTTCACTGCGGCGGGACAGCGCTGCGTGCAGCTAGAAAAGGAGTTGCCCGCTGTTTTATACGTGATGGGGCGATTCAATGCTTACATTTGTGGGAGGAAAACTACCCGTGTATACTGCCCGTGTCGATAGCTGGTAAACAGTTGCACAGTGTCCCTCGACTTCCTCAAAGCATGCTGAGGCAGATCCAAAAACACGACATGGATTTCGTGTACACCTCGGGGAACGGATGTTCATTGCATAGGTTTTGTCGAGTGCCCATTTTCCGATAGTCGAACACTAGTAAGAAGAAATTAAAGCAGTAAATCTGGCGGAAATGGAAGGTCGTTTGAAAGAAACAAGGCGCCGTACGGAGGTAAACGCGAAGTGCGCGGCGTTACAAGCGTACTTTTGAGATGATGCCCAGATACATAGACCAAACTTGCGGAGAAATTAGCGCCTTTCCTCCACTTCCTGGATGAATTCACGGTTTTCTGTTCAAAGTAAAATCCAGTTTTGATCCCGCCATCTCTCCGAAGAGTGATGCCAGAACAAGCTCATCGAGCACACCAGCGTGTTGAATACAGCATTGACAGAGCTCAGGAACTGATGTCTCGAATCTTGATGACGAATCAACTAGGAGATCAAGTGTCAAGCGTTTCTGCCTGCCGGTCTCACTCACCGCTATCACCAAGGAAGCATTCATCAATAAGTTCCGGTGTCAGTTCGCCCGGCACGCAATACCAGAGGAAGTGGTCTCAGACAATAGCCCAGAGAATACAAGTGCTGCGTTTCAAATCCTTGCAAACAAGTACAAATCTTCACAGCGACAAACCAGCTCTTACCACAGAACAGAAAACAGAGACGGCATTCAAATAAACCGAGGCTGTTGTCAAAGACTACTATATCCACTTATGAGGACCCGCATCTGATGCTACTGGAGATTAGCAAGACCCCGTCAACGGTCTCAGAGGAGTAGAACGTCCGTACAGCAGAAGTACAAGAACCCTAATGCCTGCGTCGGACACACTATTTCATTCGCTTTTATCAACGCTTGAGCGGCTGGATAAGATTTTTAAAGAAATAATGGCAAATTAGATAGGTAGTACGACGGAAATATGCGAGCGATGTAATGTGGTTTTAACCGATACCGGGTAGCATGGATCGATGAAGGAAGAGTGTGGTGAATGGCTGATAGAAATTACAATCGAAAACAGCGTAAGAGGAGACAGCCAATTATGAAAGATACTATCTCAAAAGTGGACAGAAAAGTATTTTAGGAGAAACCTGGGGAGCCTCACATGTAGTCGCCTAACATCTGGAGTTGCGGTGGGGCTTATAAGTAGCAAGGAGTTTCCCTTACACAGACTTCAGTCATAGGCTAGTAAGATCAACTGAGCCGAAGGTGGTAATCAAACCGAGTGAAACCACAGCGGTGAGTCGCTTGCTGGCTGGCGATCTAAACGCCCAAGTCGGAAAATTGTCCTCTGATGAGCTTCATCTGGGCGGCCAACATGGTGTAGGCTCCCGTAATGATAATGGTGAGCGATTGCTCCAGCTGTGTGAAGATGCTCGCCTGTTTCTCGCGAGCACTAATTTTCGACACAGCACCCGCAGAAGTGTGACTTGGCGGCCACCAGCCTCGGGCCAGTCATGGACGCAAATCGATCATATCGCGATCAGTTACCGCTGGAGAGGCTGTGTCCAAAACTGTCGCTCGATTTGGAGCACGAGCGTGGACTCTGACCACGCACTTGTCTGTGCCGACCTCCTGATGCGCTTCGGTGGACGTCCGCAACGTCGATGTGAACGGATTGACACTAGCCAGCTGGCGAAGCCAGATGTTCTGAATGTGTACCAAGATGCGCTGACATCTGGGCTGAGTAAGCGCCCACTAAACACCGTTGAAGATCACTGGTCGCACACTCGTCATGCATTGCTATTAGCAGGCATGTCTTCATGTGGCAAAACCAATTGCCAAACCGGACATTGGGTCTCTACACAGTCTCTGGAACTTATGGATGCTCGCCGACGTATTCCGGCTGGAAGCGAATACAATGAATCTCGCAAAAATCTCAGGGCGAAACTACGTGCTAGCCTAAAGAAGGACCGCGAAACCTGGTGGTCTCATCGTGCATCTGAGATGGAAACAGCTGCTGCCATTGGTAATCATTGTAAGTTATACCGTCTGATACGGGCAACAGGCAGCAGGAGACCTGGTGTTAGCGAGACCATACGCGACGAGAGTGGGCTGATGATCCACAGCCTGTCAAAACGCTTGGAGCGTTGGGCTGAACACTTTGCTATGCAATTTAACCAACCTGAGTTATCACTTTCTTCGGGCATTGAACGCCCTTCTCCTTGGGCCGTCTCCCTGGATCCGCCCTCACGCGCTGAAGTCGAACGTGAGATCAGGCTGTTGAAATTGCATAAGGCCGCAGGAGCAGATACTATTCCTCCAGCCCTCTTCAAGTTCGGTGGACCTGCTCTAATAGGTGATCTACACGAGTTGCTAGTAAAACTTTGGGAGCAGGAGACAGTCCCGACAGACTGGAACCGCTCCGTCATTGTCCCAATTTTCAAGGGAGGCTCCCGTTTGGTATGTGGCAATCATAGAGGGATCAGGCTTATAATTTATTAAAGAGCGGATACGTAGTGGATGCAATCTCGAGCGGGCCAGAAGCCTGGCTCTCACTTAGTCATTTACGAGTATCAGCGAGGGCGCAAGATGATCCCTGTCGAACAGCCATCCAAGATCCCAAAACAAAATGTGGTCCGCGATCAAAATTTATTACACACGGACAATCGACTACCTTTATGCTGTACATACAAATGGATCGAAATTTTCTCATTGCATTTTTTTCAACTACCATGGCATCTTGCGAAGTCAGCTCAGGGTTGCGGTCGCTCGCATTCGGGATCATCGCAGGGCTATCGAAGCGGGGTCACCTTGTGATTACTGATGCGCATAATCGGAGTCCAATTTGGAACACTAATGTGCGTAATCGAAGTCAAGCTGAGTCAGTTAAGGTCACTCGCCTCAACTGCGAGCCTCCATCATATCACTACTTTTTCAGTTTTTCTGTCTGGCAGTACAGGTTCCGTACCGTATCCCATGGTAGGCGAGCTTTCGAATATGTGCGGCGATCGCAGTCAGCTCGTTCTGCTGATGCGGCTGTTCTACGAGGTACAGAGACTGTCCACCAGGTTACCATTTTAACTAAGTTCAATTCAATCGAATGAGTCTATTCCCTAACGGTATTATGGTTTCTCTCTTCCTTACGGTTTGTACCTACACCAATCCTTCAACGCCCGTCAGTAAAAGGCATTGGCTCAATACCTATTTTGGCTGCAGAAACTGGATGTGGTAGGAGTGTTGATCCATGAACGTAATACCTCGTTCTCTCCGTAATCTCTTTTGTACACGGACTCGCAAACGAGTTGTCGAAGTTTTATGGTGTTGTAGTAGAGCCCTGGCTGCCTGTAACAACTTCCTTGTCCGACGACTGAACAGAAGCTGTACTGGTTTTGTCCCAATTGCAGCCGAGGGCGTGATACTCCGTTCAAGTAACATACATTATCACCGATAAAATGTGCCGGTATGTGTGTATGAACTACAAAACGGAAACAAGACCATGTGCCTCTAACACACCATGCAGTTTGGTGTAGTTTGGTAGATAAAATCAACCTTAGATAACTAATTTGCAATGGGAATCAAAAACAAACGCAAAGTGTGCGCACGCTCCGAAGGAAAGTTGGTCGAACGAATTTGACTGTTGTAAGTGAGAATCACAGAAGCTCGAGGTGGAAGCTAAAAATAGATCACTCGATCAATCATTCATCAAGCTCACTTGCAAACAGGTAAGTCCTGTGCTCTAACGACTGTCCTCCAGAATCACCAGGATGGGGAAGATGAAACGGGAAAAGGTTACAATCTGTCTTATCACTGGCAGCTCAGATTGGTTTGTTCGTCTAGCTAAGTAATTCGATTGCAAACGTTTCGTCGCCAAACAAGATGACATCTACAGTTCACAGTGCTTGTAGTAGCAGTAGCAATGGCGCTGATAGCAGGAACTATGCTTCAAACAATTCCGGGAAGGATGGATAGGACATTCTCATGGTAATAAGTAAGCATGTATTCCAAGAATTCAAAGTGACCGCGTAATTATGTGACTAGAACAGCGATGTTGATGGGAAGATATAAGAAAAGGGGCTAGTGAGAATGGAAATGAATGCAGATTGGGCGTCGTACATGATTCACGACAGAAAAGATAGTATAAAACAGTGTTGGCGCTGCAAGTATGCAAATAGATTGTGGTATAAAGCATTCCGTCGATCCGATGGAAAGAATGGGCCATGGGAAAATAGCGACTGACAAATAATCAACTTCCAGGAACCAGTCGGATGAGCTTTTGTGTTCCGATGGTTAGGCGAACTGGATAGAAAGTGGGCAAACAGAAAAAGATTTAAAATACGAGATGACCGATTTGTGGTAAAACAATGCGATTCAACTCATTAGGGTTATGGTCTATCGCATTAGGATGTGAAATAGTGCTTAATAGCCTTGAAGGGATGCTGACTTTGAGGACAGCTTGTCTAACTGGGTTGCGGAACAGGAGTGCAAGTAAGCAGTAGTGAAACGACACGAGTATCGACAAACGGCTTCATAGCAATATCCAATGACAGGTTACATTCTGAAGTTAGCGTCACGACGGTTACCGTCGCACAGGACCCGAGAAGAAAGAAAGCGCCCATCACAACACTGTTTATCTGATGTGCACATTTGGTGTGCTAACGACCAGAGGAGGCCCAAAGATTTAACAATGTGCTTCAATATGTTTCCTAATATACCTGATATGCATCCATTTCCAGGAACATCATACGGTTAACCAACGGATAGACTAGTTGCAGCCATGCATGGAGACGGTAACCAGATCTTTGAGGTCTGAGGTGGGTGATCATGGCATCCGCACTATCGGTTTCGAACGTGTCTGCACTCGCCAGATAGATATACCAAGAATGAGATTCTAATCTGGAAAGTTTATACTTCCAGACGAATCCTTTACTCTCTCCAAGCACTGATAGACCAAGTGGAAAGAAGCAGGTGAACACGGAAAAAGGTACCACAGCGGACACAACCGGTGTTAGTGAACCCATACACTGTTTCATGCGTACTGATATCGTGTCTTCAGGGGTAGAAGAAAAACTTAGTGAGCCTGAAAAAGCAGCGAGTGAGAACCCGATTAGTATTGTCGACTTCATATCTCTACTGTCAGATAGAATACAAACATTGAAGAAACGTTTGGCTTGGCAAAAAGGAGAAACTGGCGCGATTTGATTCATTGGCAGATATTCTCGAATCCGTTTCGTACTTAGTCCGGCGCTGGTAAGTTCGGAGCCAAAACATAGAAGCAGGGCACTGAACTTCCTAATTGCGATAAACTCTGAGGATGCCCATAGAAGTAGATGCGAAAATGCCATTGTACTCAACACAGCCGGCAAAATCTCGCTTGACAGCATCAGGTATACTGTTCCGATGGCCTGCGATACTGATATGAGTGACATCAGTTGCAAAAGACTAAGAAAAATCTGTACACTTTCCATGCCAGATTCTGTTGAGCTTTCGAAGCGAAAGTCTCATAATTCTGTTCATTAAAAGCCAAAATACTTTGAGATACATTCCGAAATTTAGTAAGGTGATTACAGCTGAAGATAGGAAAGCATCGCAACGCGTCAGATACACAAACCCACTGTGTCTAAACAGAAGATGATTCACTACATTTGCTCTCTTCTTAAACAGACAATCCGAGAGCCATTCAAAGCGGCTGGTATCTGTCCCTTTTAATGACTCAGGTGACGGTGATCAATCTGTATAGCTACCAAGATCACTCTCCCCTCACAGATGCGAATGGAGGTGACAACGCTGAAGAAGCCCAGTTGTTCATACTTTCACAAGAAGGTAGTCATTTTGTGAACACAGAGAGTGAAGGCAGATTCACACAATGCGCCATGTTCTAGCAAAGAAGTGAACGCTTAAAACAGGTACACGCCCAAAAACCTCAAACGGACGTACGATATTGACGAAACATTCATCAACTGATTCGTGGGGAGTTAGTGATAGTGCGTTGTGGTTTATTAGCATAATGACCAGGAGTGATGGACATAGCCCATGCTTGAAGCGTGCCACTCCTAGCAAGGAATTTTATGTTAGGAAGGTGACTACGTCGCCCAAATACGGTCGTGGAAAATAATACTCCTCTACAAAATGGCAAGTGGTAATTCCCGAGTGTTCGGCCGAATCACCCAAGCGCTCCCTCTGGTATACCTGTAAATGCTCATACAGAATCACAACCTACTCACACAAGAAATCGCTAGCGGCAGTAGGAGAGAGTTTAGCTGAGCCTTTGGCTCGATTCTTCCAACATTGTTTTGACGAAATGTACTTGCCCGACATGTGGAAAGACGAGATGATTACTTTTATTCACAAGGAAGCAGTCGGTCCAATCCAGCCAACTGCCGTCTCATAATCTTACTACCGGTTCTTTCAAAGGCCATGGAAGCTACCATTTCTGATGCGCTAACGGCCTACTTGGAAGAATTGAACTACCTCGCATCGGAACAGCATGGCTTCCGACGAAATCGATCGTGCACGACAAAGCTACTACTAACGTGATCCAGCTGGATCGAAGCAGTATACTCTAGCACAGAAGTTGATGTAGTCGTTCTAGATTTTTCAAAGGCGTTCGACCGGTTAGACCATAACATTCTGCTCCTCGAACTCAGAACATTAGGTATTGGTGATCCTTTCCTAGGAAGGAGCAGAAGCTTCCTTCTACACCGGCGCCTGGAAGTACGTATACGTGATTCGCTGTCAGATCCCATCCGAGTTGAGTGCGTAGTACCACAGGGATCGGCACTAGGGCCGCGAATATTTTTGACGTATATCAACGATATCACACGCCTCATAAGCTCGAACTGCCTGCTTTAAGCCGAGGACATCAAGGTGTGGAGGGCGATCAATACACCAGACGATATCACAGTACTTCAAGCTGATCTGGCTAAGGTATACGCGTGGTCAATCCAGATTCTACTTCGATTCAATGTGGAAAAATGTAGAGTGCTGCACCTAGGGCACAAGTTAGTACATTCCTACAAACTCGGCAACCAGAGCTTCAAACGTCTTCTGGCGAGAAGGATCTCAACGTTTTGGTTCAGGTCGATCTTGGATGTTCGAAGCAGGCTGCAACAGCGTCAAGAAGAGGTATCCCACATGTGGGCCTCCTGAAGCGTGCATTTGACCCTTAGATTTTTCCACAACTTCTCGGCTCGTATATACAATTACATGTGGAATACGCAATACAGGTCTGGAAGCCATGGCTGAGGAGAGATCCCACCACCTTGGAGATACGCCAACGCCGGACAACCAAAAATGTCAAGAGTCTGTATACTTTGCCGTATGAACGAAGGTTACAAGTGCTCAGGGAATTCAGCAGACAGTATCGAGGATTGCGCGGGGACCACATTTTGACTTAAAACCACACGTGCCGCTAGTTACTAGAGCTTAGTCACAACCGCAATTTGAGAGGCCACCATCACAAACTCGCAGAGCAGCACAGTCGTTTGGAATACCGTCGGAATTTCTTTTCCGTACGCGTTTGCAGAACGTGGAATCCCCTACCGGAAACTGTCATATGTGCTCCCAAGTTGACAGTTCAGAGCCAGAGTTGACCGTGCACTAAGTTCGCTGCACCATCTTACATGACCCATTACCCATGGATAAACACAAGTGTCTAAGAGATTTTCCTGTTAGTCAAATCACAGATTTCGTTCCACGTCTTTCAACTCCTCTGTGTTTACACAAGGATTAGACACGATTTTTACTAATATCTCAATTGTTGTCATTCCTTATGGATTTACATTTTATAGTACGTGTACTATAGTGAGTTCACTGGTGTAAAGCCAATTTTGCTAACAAGTCTTTTAATATTTTGCAGTTTCACCATAAACATCCTACGGGACCTGTTATGCATTAGCTTTATTAACCGTATAAAACCATTGTTCAATCATAACAAACTTCGTAAGCCCTTTACCTTCTTCGTACACTACCTTGTGCCAACCCTTCAGCGATAACCCCCCCCCCCCTATCCCTGTGGCCGAGTGGTCTGCGCGTTTGGTTCGCAACCATAAGGTCACCGGTTCGAATCCGCGTAGGGGTAGGCGTCCTCGCGGTATACTCAGCCCGCGCGCGACTGGTGGTGGTCGCGCGGCAGCCGAGCGCCGTTACGACGTACAGCTGAGACATTATTATTATTATTATTACCCTAGCCATATAAATCCAAACAACCGGAATTATTCTGTAGTTCCCTATCAATTCTGCTTTCCCTTCAAATCACAATAAAGTCAATGAATCCCACTGTGAGCGACCTGTTGTGAAAAAGCCTGAAACTAATGTGACTGCCAGCACGAATGCCGGTGTTTATGCTGGACATCGCCAATGATTTACTGGGACTGATTATTCTTAATATTCGTTCACTGATAAATAAGCGTCACTTACTCTGCACCATAATATAAGTACATATACTCGATCTAACTTTTCTCACGGAAAACCGGTGCCATAATTACATATCAAACCAACTGCTTACTCTTGAAAGCCACACGTCTAGTAATGATCGAAAGGAAGGTAAGGGAGGTGGCTGCATTATTCATTGCTCAGAAGGCCTTCTCGCTTCTGCATTTTCACTTCCATGCTGCGCTATCGACTCTGCTTGGCTGATCTTATCTCTCGGTGCTACGCGATCGCTTGTATGCTGTAATCACCGCATACCTGGGAACAGTCTAAATGAGGAGAACCAGTCAATCGGCGTATCCGAATTTACTTCCTCCAATAAAGTTATTAGTGAGGATTTTAATCGAACCGGCATTTGTTGGTCCAAGATGGTAAAAATGTGTAGCATGCTGAGTTCATAAATCCCATGATCACTGGTGGATGGAAGTAACATGTCCTCGTGCCTAACAGGGGCAACAATAGGATAGATCTAAATTTTACCTCAGGCGCGTCCTTATTAAGTACTAACACTGAATGCTTCCCATGGCTGTGAGCACAAAAATGTCAGCTGCGAAACTGCCACTAAATCGTCACATGTGAGTCCCGTGATGGTCTCACAATTCCCTGCGAAAAGTCAAATGGGAGACCTTCCCCTCCCCCATTCTTTCTTTCAAATAACAGAGAGTTTCATTGTCTTCTATGGTGAAGCGGATTTGGGTTTCAACATGCTTGCTTCGAGTGATACTATAATGCATAAAAGGTCCACCTCCAAGTACGCTGTCAACATAGAAGATAGGCGGAAGATAAACATTTTAACTGGTACGTATGAAAAACCTCGCGATTCCAGCGTGATATTGTGTCTTCAACATTTAGTGGTCGGAGTAAAAACG